GAGCCTTGATTCACAATAGAGTCTAACAGATTTTAAATCGTCATTTTCTTGACGGCAAAGGTCTCGCGGTGGATGCGTCCATTCATTTCTGGAGCAACCTCTCTAATTCGTGCAACTACACCGCTGTGTCGGCTTGTCATTGCTCTAGCACCGTCTGTACAAACTCCTACACATTTTATCCAGCCGATGACATTCTTTTCGATAAATTCATTCAGAAGTTGAAATATGTGCTCTCCTGTAGTTCCCATTGGTAGCGGCTTACAGAACGGAAAGTCCTCATGGGACGTACCCTCAAACTCATATCTAACGTAAACGAGCAAATTGGCCAAATCGACTACAGACTCATCTAATTGCAGTGAAAAACATCTGCTCATCTTAACGCGTTCTATCAGTGTACTTTTGATATCATCCGCCATTTCAATAATTCTATGAGTGACTGTCTTTCAGAGGGGGCAGCAGGTCAAGCTGTTTAGCAGCTTTTTCTCCACACATACAGTAATACGTGTCAGCTTTTTTGCCAACGGTAAATAAGGTTCTTCAAAACTAGTGTGGGGCTTACCTGCTGTATCGTAGTACGTAGGCTGTGTATTCGACGCGTCTTAAAATAGAAAAGATGAAAACCCGTCCCGATTTTTTAGCGCACACAACAAATTTCCAGGGTCATATGGCGTACGAGTTGGCGGCTCTCTGCATACCACTCCAGGTACGCGTACCACAGTTTGAGAACCACTGCTCTAGACCATTCCAAATAAGAATATTTTGAAATGTGTGCATGACTAAATAAATAAAGTAAATAAATAAAGTAAAGTAAAGATTGAATTATAGCTTATATTTTTAATACTTTTTCGGAATGATCGTCTCTGCCAACCCACCATAGTACCTTCCCATATTATTCACAACATGATCTCAACAACAAATCTCATAAATAAAAAGAAACTTTTTTACACTTGCTTATTTTAGACAAAATGTAATATTTTGTCTCAGTTTTTAAACAGAGAGATTATAGCATAATTAATATGCATATGGAACACACTAAATAGAACTGACTGTAAGCTAAAATCTTGAGCATGATGTCAGAGCCAGAGCCACACATAAAATGGGCAAATAATGCTAAGGAAATGTTCTAAACCTTTCCTGTCAAGGTGACTTCTAGGGAGTATTTGACACACTCAATCATACTTTTATTAAATGCTAAACACAATAACAGTATCATGCATTCAGGTGTTCTTATTGTTCAAAAGCAGCCACTGACCTTCAGTGTATAGACTCCCATTCGGCCAGGTACTTTGTAGAAAATTCCCTCTTCTCCTCGAGAATTGGTGTGCAGCATGGCATTTAAACAAGCCAGAGGAGATGTCCCGCTAGAATCAGAGAAAGAAAACAGCTGGTGAGACTAGAGCAGTCTACGTCTGCTAAAATCATGCTGCAGCATTAATGTTTGGAGTTAAAATAGAACCATGTATTGGCCACAAGATGGTAATGATGGAAACTCATGAAAAAAACATAACTGGAAGAAATAACAGTGAATGCTACTTTACCTGCTTTTACTTAATTGACAAATAAGCCCTAAACTGTTTTCATTCAAAAGACCGCTGGGTGTATATGTACAGTATACACACATTTTAAAATCACTTTTGCTTTTATGTTACAACTATGTTCCAAAAGGATTTGCAAATGCTTATTTGATGCTGTCTTCAATACAAAGGTTTCACTGCCCTGCCACTGATACGGTAATAATGAAAAAGGATGCAGAGACTACAGACTACTGTACATTGTTATAAACAGCAGGAGAAAAAGAAACAATATCTCGACAAACAGTAAAGAAGGAAAACACATAACAGACCAAAATTAATGAGGAATGTTTATGGGTAAAGGGCAAATTATTCAGGTGAGGACAGACAAGGATCAGGAAAGAAGTAAAGCTACTGTAAAGGAAGTCTAACAACATGCATCTAGCTACCTCGTCTTTGTTGTGTATTCCGAGGGACAGTTTCAGAGTGTTTTTTTAGTGCAAAGAAAATGGCACACTTCGTTGCCGTGAATCACCTCAGCTTATTAAGAATTAAAATTGATTTGCCATAAGAATTTAATCACGACTACAAAGACGAGGAGGCCATTCAGTTCATCATGTTGTATATTAATTGTAATGCAGCACAAAGTAGGAGCTGCTATTCGGGTTCAAAAAAAAATCTGTTGGCAGGAGGAGCATTAGACAAAAAAAAAAGATAACTGCCCTATATGGTTTTGTTTGATGTTTGTGGTACAGAGTGTTATCAGCTTATGTTGGATCAACAAAGTACTTGTTGTATAAACACAGTAGGAAAAAAATAAATTATTTTACAGTACAACAGGTAATTTCAACATTTACAGGAAGATAATCACTTTAATGGATAAGCTGATTCCATTTAATTTTTTTTTTCAGGTTTATTAAGATCCATAATGTAAGACACTTTTTTAAGTACAGTAGCACACACTGAAATAACTTTCGTTCATCACAATCACCTTTAATATTCTATATCTATTTTGATTGATTGAATTTTTTCCCCAAATTGTTTTCACAATCCTTTGCTATATAAAATAGAAGCCTTTGAGCTTTACAGAATGCATTCCACACTGAAATCTGAACTTGTAATAGAGAATGCATGAGTCAAATTTTAAATGAATGTAACGATAACAAGGATAACATCAAATACTGTATGTTCACACACCAGCAGTTAGTAAACCGGTAAATGTTAATGAAATCTTACTAAGAAAGAAAGGTTGTATATGTAACGCTGGTGAAGGTTGACTGTATGCTCCTTTCTTTTGATTTTGTTTTTAAATTATTTCACTTGTTCCCATGAAATTACCCCTAGCAACAGATTACACACCTCTCAATCAGAAAACTGCAGACAGATATAATAAACAGAATTTCGTGAAACAGAAGAACCATGTGAAAATCTGGAACAAGCTAGCAGCCAGGATTTCAACTGTTTTAGGTTGAGAGCCTCGAAGAGGACAGAGAGGAGGAGTGCGAGGAGGTGCGAAAAGTCAGTGTTTCAGATAACAGAGAAGCAGGTGACAATTAAAAGAGAAGATTGGTAGTTATGGCAACAGTGACAGTAGAGGCAAAAAGAGGAAAACAATTAAACACCCAAACAGACTTGACTATGAAAGGTCGTGGCTAATGACTTCTTAACCAGCACTCAACGTGATGCTGGTTTAAAGTTTCAGATGAGATCTCATCACGTTAAACAAAACAGTAAAGAGATGTGTTTTCAAAAGCCAGTATGTGCAAAGGACCCCCAGCTCAGATGACAAAATCATACTTACTTGTAGTGGTCAAGAAAAATAGGCAAAAGGTGGCCCAAATGTTAAGTAACACTCAAGCATAAAGCTGTTAACATGGATGTCTGGGCTTGTTTTCTCAACGCACAAAGTGGAGAAATAGGCCAGTAAAAACAAGGAACAATATCTTTGCATTATCTAATGTTATACAATTTGTGACAGTTTATCGGTAACTTTTTCACATGTATAAATATACAGTATGTGTAGACTCTTGCTCTCTTTGGTGTACTACAGTAAAATTTCAAGATAGCCCCATAATTTTGACAACCAATTGATTGCTCTCTTTCTGTAAGTGCCATTTGGATAGTGTCTAGATTATTCTTAAACATCAGAACATATACGTTTGCACATTATTAAACTATTAAACAATTACAATATTTTTTTGATAAAAAGGATAAAAAATGAAAACTGAACATTCCAGTGACAAGTTTCCTTGTTATTATTATGGTGGAAGATTATATTTAGTTTCACCTTATGTTAAATGTTAAGTATGCATTTACATTCATTGGTTAGCAGTTACTCGACACAACACGCACAAAAATACTTCAGCACTTAATAATACTTAATAAGCATTCAGGAATGACACTGTCTACAGAGTACAGTCACAAATTTTGCAGTTTGTAAAAAGTTGAAAGACCAGATCAGCTCACTTAATTGTTACACTTTTCACAGCTCTATACAGCTTTCACATCACAGAGCATAATCAAGGCTTGTTGGTTCCTCTTTAAGCCTCTTCACCACTCACACTTGCATAGTAGTCATGGCTATACACTCATTCCTACAAATATTTGTCAGGCCAGCATTTTCTATATTTTCTAAGCATTCATGGGTTTTGCACTCTCTGTTTTGAGACATGTGATCACTGCTGTCTTCGCACAATTTCCATGCATGGTACTGGAAGGATTGCTCCTTAACAAGACAAACGGGTAGTTTGCGACTTGCACTGACTACATATTACCTTTTGCAAATGAAAAATAAAATCTACATATGTTGTAAATGCACTTTAAACACTTATAATTTGTACAGTTATAGTTTTTTGCCACGTTTTATTTGTTCTGATAGTTTTGGAACAAATAGAATTGAACTGTACACAGGGAAATCCTCAAGTAAAGGTGGTAGTATTTTTTCTTCAGGTTATTTTTAAACAAGTTCTTCTGTAGGTGAAGATTTTAAAACCAAGCTCAGCTTTGTCAGGCAGGTTGTTTTTAACAAACAACACCAGATCTCGTGAAAAGATAACATCACGATAATATCAGCATAAATGGCAACAAATACAATCATTCTGACTAAAAAGACAACCTTCAGCTCAGTCTTGCAAATTATTTTGCATTATGAATTCATGATAAGCCACTTGCTTTACCACAGTCTAACACATGTTTAAAAAATGGAAAAAGAAAATGCACACTGTACCTTTCACAAAATTATTACTCCATGATTTCGAAAGAGGCAAAAGACAGAGACTGGGAGCATAAACATAAAAAAAAATCTATAATCCTATGTGGCTCAGCATGCTAGCTCATGCTGGCATAGCTGACAGCCTCTGGTAACATTCAAGCTGAAGATGTTCTTAATTTGCAAATAAAAGCTACAGCTACCAAGACCATCCTCATGCACTGAATAAGGTTTGACTCGTTAACTGTTTTCACTTAAAGCAATAATGTGACTTTCTTTTGTTTTTTGTAGTCAGGCCAACATCTTGTTAATCCCATGCAGCGGTAATACAGAGGGGGTTAAGGTTAGTGAATTCAGGACAGGTAAAACAAGTTTTTCTTACCTTCTGGAGGACAACAGAGACAATGAAACCAAAAGGCAAAGAAATACAACAATTAGAATTAAATGGAGACAAAAGACTCTACAAAAAATCTAAAAAGAATCAATGTGTAGATTTCATTTCAACACTTCTTAATAAAGAACCTTAAATAATAAGAAATAAAATTTCTGCTCCCAAGATAGGAAAGATACAACCATTTTCTGTAAAGCAGAGTGACTGTTGAAAAACAGAAGTAATATATGCTATTTAATAATGGCCATGACGATTAAGAGCATTTTCATTTTAAAATATCAACTACATTTTAAAACTAGCCAAATGTAACTTTCTTTGTGCAGTGAATTGTTAAAGAGGCTGATCTATTCTTGAGCCATCAAGGTTTGAATTAGGAGTTGGGATGCCAAGATGCAGCATTTTATCCAAGTAGACATACTGTATATGGAATAATAAGTGGAAACAAAATATTACATTACATTTAAAATTCTTAATGCAGTTTAAAGAAGGCATATAAATATTGCCACTCTGTGTAAATACAAAATAACAGATAATCACATGCCAAACAAATGTAAAATGAAATAAACATTATGGCTATATACTGTATTACCACCTCAATTTCAAAAGGCCTGGCTCTTCCACATACAATAGCAAATCCTAAGAAACTATGAATATTATATAAGGCATCTCAGTTAGATACGATAAATATCTAACAATGCACTCAAAAGACAGATAATCAAAGTTTTTCAAATGTATTACACAATGCACAACATTTAAATGTTCATAAATCTTAATTTCTGCTAATGCATATACTATACAAGTCCATGCAACCAGATACACTGTAAAATAAACCCCCCGCTAATGTACTGTAAGTTAAAAAGAAAAGGTATTCAATCACAGAAAGTTTCCTGTGAATTAAATAATCAATTAGAAGTTAAAGATATCTACAGTAATTACCCAGCTGCAACAATATCAAAAAATACTTGACAACTGCGCTGAGCAAGAACAATGTGAGACCAGCGCCCAGATGTGCCCCGTCAAGTTTGTTGGTTTTTTGAGTGATGACATTTACCTTATGAACTGTGATCTCACTACTTTTCTGTGCTGTTTCACTTAAGTTTAAAACCATTCTCTTAAATGTGTAGCCCAGATTTTCTACAAGTTTTTTTTTTTTTACACTGGGTGAATGGATCTTTCGACTGACTAACAGTATCACCTCTCAGTGCTGGGAGGTGATCCTACACTGACCCATAAGCATTTAGATACCATCAACTAACACTCTTTGAAACAACAGACGTGCAGTATATGGGTCAATTAGAGACACTCATCTCAAAAGAATATTTACCAGATTGTCAAATAGAAATGTCAGAAATATGCCGATTTAATCAGACTGTACAGTATGTATTTACTAAAAAAAATCTACATATGGAAAATCGGTAAAACTAAAGTTTTCTTTAACATGCACATTTTGTCTTTTTACATAGGCTTCACAAATCTTTCATTTGAAGTTTCACAAAAATGTTAGTTTGTGCTGTTAAAATTAAAATTATTAAAGTATTTTCTATTTATTAAGTGATCATGGCTGATGTTTTCTTGTCTATTCTGACTTATTTCAGTACAGCTTTTAAATATAACATTATATAGTGAAATATGCTGTTGGCAAAATTATTTAACTAAAAACATCAATGAAGGTGGAATCTGTTGCTTTTTGTGGAAATTTACAGAAACAACTGCTGTTCATGCTCTTGAAGGACTGAATCTTATCTTTTGTACAACATACGTAACCTGAACATTCCTGTCATCATACCTGTAACCTGAGCATTGCCTAACATCCTCGAAACCTGTTAACTAGAAGCATTGACGACCTATAAATATGACTTTGCTCAATATGTTGAAACAATATGTTGTTAAAAAATGTTAAATAATTCTGATATAAATAATATGTAGACTGCTGACAGTTATAAATTATGAGTGTCTGACAGGGGAGAATGGGGAGTGGAAGGCACTTCAACAGTCTTTTCAAGTGAAAGATAAGGAAATAGATTGAGCTGAGAAAGTAGCCATTGTATTGTGGTTTTTGTGAGAAATGTTTGTACCTGGCTATAAAGGGATCCTGCCTAAGGGAACAGAGGCAGCACCTCTTCTATCACGCTGCTGTATCATGCCTGAACTTCAGCTGAAATAAAGGCCTGATGATTGGTTCACCTCTGAAACCTGGTCTCCAGTTTTTTTTCCCGGTTTCCTGACACCCATTGGCCTTCACTGTTAAATCTGTTTTTCCTCCCAAACCTGTCTACTGGAGGATGTTCCCCACAGCAAATGAAGAGGTGTTACAGGTAAGATTAGCCTTCCAAAACACTGAAAATGTATCTTTAATTGCATTTGCCAACTTTCAATTACTGATATTCATTAAATAACTTTTCATGCCTCACGTCTTAACAAAAGTTATGAAAGATGTGCATTATCACGTCCTTCCTACAGTATATGTCTCAATAAACATCAGATATGAGTTAATTCAAAATTCCAGGTTTTATTGTGAAGGCTGTGGCAGAGATCACTTCCATATACCTTCAGGGTTCTTGGGAACACTGCTTATCTATTCTGTAGCATCTGCCCATTTATTTGGAACTTTCATGATCTGGAGAGCCTTTTGCGGTGTGAATTTGCTGACAGGCTCTTTGGCTGTCTGGAATATAAGTAGACAGCTGTATCTCTTTTACAAACATGATTTAAAAGATTTCCCTCAGCTGTGTGGTGAACCAAATGCAGAGCAGCTTGATAGAGCTTGACTGGTATAAAACAGAAAGACTCTTTATGAATCATTTACTTTAAACAAATTGTAAAAAATGAAAAGAATTAATGAAATGTCTCATATTAAATCTAAGATGTTTTCATCAATTCAAAGCATAGAGGTTATGATAACTTGGAATGGCTTTATCAATTTGTTTAATTATTAGAAGTAGCTATAGGGTATAATTTTCATTAGCCACATAATGATTGAAAATCATGAAAATCACATATACTATGAAACTGATTATTTATTTTTTATTACAGTTATGTTCTGTCACAAAACTGTAGCAAATATTTCCCAATGTGAATACAGCATTCAATTAAAAAATGTAAGCATTGCAATGCAGCAAAACAGTCAAAGCCTACCCAGCAGCCAAATCACCCTGAAGCTTAGCAGGTGTGAGCCTGGTTTGTACCTGGATGGGAGACCTCCTGGGTTGCTGCTGGAAGAGGTGTTAGAGGGGCCCAGTAGGGGGTGCTCACCCTGTGGTCTTTGTGGGTCCTAATGCCCCATCATAGTGACGGGGACACTCTACTGTAAAAAGGCACTGTCCTTCGGATGAGATGTAAAACCAAGGTCCTGACTCTCTGTAGTCATTAAAAATCCCAGGGCGTTTCTTGAAAAGAGTAGAGATGTAACCCTGGTGTCCTGGCCAAATTTCCCACTGGCCCTTACCAATCATGGCCTCCTAATAATCCCCATCTATGAATTGGCTTCATTATTCTGTTCTCCTCCCCACTGAGAGCTGATGTGTGGTGAGTCCCCATTACCTGTAAACTGCTTTAAATGGAGTGTCCAGAAAAGCGCTATATAAGTGTAAGCAAT